TGAGCGGCCATCTGTTGAGGCCGACTGGGGTTCAAGGAGACAGAAGCAGAGATACAAAAAGCAACTGTAAAAGGCGGCTCCATCCAGGAAACACACAGCCAGGCAGATGAGCTTCAACCCAACTCCCATGTCAGAGGATGAAGAGAGCACATCCAGCCAGCCACAGTCTGAGAAACAGGGCTACACTGGAAAAACAGACCGAGCTCCAACATCTAAAAACAAGGGTGTTGATGGCAGCAGCATAGCTGATATTTCTCTCCAGGATGGAGTCAAACAGGAACAGACATAGAGGACGGAGAACAAAGGTAATCCACAGTTAATTTTTTTAAAAGGCTCCTATCCTTAAAAAGGGAAGAAAAGAAGCTGATACGTACGAACATATGGCTGATACGTGCGCTTAAACCAGGAAGCTGTAGTCCTTATTTATACAGGCAAGTAAAGAATAGCTAATCTGTTTAAAGTGCAGTAATGACTAAATAGTTAATTAGTTACAGTGCTAGTCACTGGAAAACTAGCGTAGTTACTGTAAATACTAACACATTAGAACCAACGCTGCTTATGATATAGGTTATTTCTATGATTCTGTCCTATAGAGGTAAGTCAGTAAGCATCTAGGATCTGTTTTCTAATTAACAAAGCTAATTACCGAGGCTTAAACAGTGGAGTTTCATAACTTCTATGCTCTTGTTTTACTGTTGTCAACAAATGTGAAGAGGGACAATCAAGAACCTTGAGATGATAAAGCAACAATTAGTGGAGATTAAAAGAAAACAAGAGGGCTAAATCACCCACACGCACTACCCATTTCCTCACTCATGCACACACCCACACACATACCAATCAATCTCCATTGTGGCAGCAGGGCAGCGGCCTGGCAGCAGCTAAGTGGAAATCATTTACTTAAAGTCATTACGGAAAGGAGAAAGAGGTCAGAGACTCAGCAGAGAATCCGGCTCTTCCGCAGCGCTATCACAACACCATGACGAGAACGATACCAGCCCCATTAAACGGCCATCATATCCTTTGACTCAGTGATGCATCATACTTTATTGAGACTGAATTATTTCTAGCTTTTTTTATGTCAAATAGATTTTATAACCTAGAGTGATTTCAGTTCACAACGCCATCCAATCATAACATCAAATGACTTCCTTAAGTGTGCCACCCCCACAGAACTCCTAAACATTTTAAACCACACCTCAGCATCTTTTACTATGATTTACATGACACACCAATATGAATTAGTGAGGGGGAATGTGTTATATTACAAGCCCCCTTTACTAATATCCCTTAAAATCCATAGCAATTAGTTACCTTAAGAGGCCATTTAATTAATAGTTAAGTTCCCCTGTGTGTCATTTCATATCCGCGCTGTGGAGAACCAAGATGAAATTTCCTCAGAGGTTTGTTAGAGAACGTTAGGGAACAAACACAGCAGGATGAAGACAAAGGAAAATACTGGTTTAAAGCAAACTTATATATACAAGTATATTCCAGAATCTGAATGTCTCACAAAGCACCATTCAAGACATCTGAAAAAGGGATTGAAAAACAATAAACCCAACCAGACAAGGTTCACTAACAGACTGAGCAAGAACAGCATTAATGACATAAGCCGCCAGGAGCTCCAGGATATATTTCTAGGAGCTGCAGTATCCACTGCTGAGATGGGGAAATCTGTTGACAGGAAAACCATCAGTGGTCAAACACCACAAATCTAGCCTTTATGTAACCCATTCTACTGCTAGCTAACAGTAACTGGAGTTTTTTTTTTTTTTTATCTTGTCAGGGCTCCTGTCTGTGTGTTTGTTTTTTGTGTTTGTCTCCCTTCCACCAACAGGAGGCGCCTGGTTCCGGTCTGCCTCCTCACACACCTGCTGACGTTTACCTCATTAACGGAGTGCTCTTAAGCTGCTGATTGCCACTACCTCAACGCCAGAGTGTTTGACAGTTTTTGGTACTCTAGCCAAGCTGAGTTTTCTCTGAGTAAGACTGAGTTTTTGTCTCCCTGAGTTTTAACTTTGTTTTGTCTTTGCCTCTCGTCAGGAAGTCATCCTGCAAACTGGACCTTTCCGGACCTTCTCTCCCAGGAGGGATCAACTGAGTCTAAACTGAGCCAGAGATTCAAACAGGAGGTTTGGATCCAGTCTCCTTTGAGGACGTTGAAATTACTCTCTGAGCAAGGGAATCATCTTCAACACGACCCGTTCAAGTACAGCAGGAAATCAGCGTCTCCATTCTCCTACAACGTCCGAGTTCTGGGTAAACCCTGTTCCGCCCTCCACCGAATCAGACAAACTCTGGAAATTCAACACACAGATTGGAGTCAAGGATCCTTCACTTCTCTGGAAACGTGAGTCAACAACCAGATCCTCTTCTTCAAATCAACAAATCAAATTTCCCACTGAGCCTGAACTATAGTCTGTCTTCCCCTCATCTTCCAGTTCCGGCTGAGCTGAGTTCAGAGAAACTCTGCACCGAGCTTAATATCTTCAATAAAACCCGTCAAACTTTTCATCTGTGTCTCTCTGTTTGGACTTCTGCATTTTGGGTCAGACCTTTAATTAAATCATGACAAATCTGATCTTTCAGTTTGAGAGATAATATTATCGATGGTCGCTAATCACTGCATACACAGTAGCATACACGTGGTTGGAGAAGACATATAGTAGCACTCAGTTCATTTTAAACGGCAGCTACTTCGATATATGTTTAGATAAAAGTTAGGAGAAATTAAAAAAAAAAAAATTAGAGATGCCACCGAAAAATCCATTCATTAGACATACAGAGCTTTTGGTTGTACGTTTATACAAGTTAGTAATATGATGCAATAATATTGGCTATTGATCATATTTGGCTTCTCAGAGGACCATGACTCACAGTTACAGGTCAAAATTAACACGCATCTGTTGTTTTCATAATGAACAGACAGAATCTGACTGCAGAGCTTCTACATATCTTGAAAATTATTTTCTCTTGCATCATTATATTAATAGACTGGTTCATCAATCCTTTTTTTTAAAAGGAGCATTGAGACATAAGTAGAGACAGCTGCAGATTTAAAATGTGAAACGGATTTACTGGGATATGCAACATTCAATAAAATATATCTCCAAGTTTACCAGAAAGTTTGCAAGAAAAAATAATCCTATGCTATATTTAAACTGCAACATACCTTTTTGTCTTATATGATTTAGCATAAGTCTAAAATAGTTGTGCCAGCCAACGCAGAGACAACTGCAAACAGACTCACAGGTTAGACAGACTTAAAAGTTAAATATTAGAAACCTAAAAGAATTAAAGCACAAACAATAGAAAAAAATTAATCAATAATAAAACAAATCAATTAATCAATAATCTCTTAAATTTCAATACATAGACTTTGGTTGCTAGCAATATGTAGGCATCAGTATCAGCTGTTATTAGTATATTTTTTTTGTATTTTATATACTCTAATAATCCCAGAGGAAAATTACTTCTCTGCATTTAAGCCATCTTCTTTGGGGAGCATTTGGCTGCCATTGTGCAGCACCCGGGGAGCAGTATGGGGTTAAGGGTCTTGCTAACAGATCCAGAGTGGCAGTCTGTGGGAGTAGGGGATCAAACTCACAACCTGAGGATTCAAAGCCCAATGCCCTAACCACTAGGCCACCACTCCCTAATAGTAATTATTTAATTGGTGAATGTTACAATGTTACATACACTACA